TAGTCATTTAGGTCAACATTGGATCATTCAGAGATCCTCACTGAACTTCTGGAGAGAGTTTGCTGCACTGAAAGTAAAGGGGCTGAATAATTTTGCACGCCCAATTTTTCAGTTTTTTATTTGTTAAAAAAGTTTGAAATATCCAATAAATTTCGTTCCACTTCATGATTGTGTCCCACTTGTTGTTGATTCTTCACAAAAAATTACAGTTTTATATCTTTATGTTTGAAGCCTGAAATGTGGCAAAAGGTCGCAAAGTTCAAGGGGGCCGAATACTTTCGCAAGGCACTGTACCTGGCTACCAACAAAGAAAAGCATGGCTCAGCTGCGAGCCCTAGTGGAGTGGAGGTATCCCTGACCAGGCATGTAAATTAACTTGCACATAAACAAAACGTTTTGTGTAATTATTACATCCCAGTTACATTTTGTGTAATTATTACATCCCGGTTACATTTCGTGTAATTATCACATCCCGGTTACATTTTGTGTAATTATTATATCCCAGTTACATTCTGTGTAATTATTATATCCCGGTTACACTGGCACATGGAGAGGCGGAGGTGCCAGCTGCAGACATGACACTGGGGTTGTCATTGGGAATATCACCAATCAGTGATATTCCCAATTCACATTGTCCCTTAACGACTGAGTCGTTAAGGGACATTGCAGGCCTTCAAAGGACTGAAACACCACCAAGGAGGATAAATATCTCCGGCTCAACACCAGTCAGTCAGAACTGATGAAGCCTCTTGGACGAGAGGTGAAATGTCTTTGACCTAGAAATCTAGTCCAGTTGATTTTTTCTAAGCTTTTTCAGCTTACTATGACCTGGATGACTGAGAATCTGCACAGACATGTTATAGTTGATGACAACTGTGAGAGTTGTGGGAAGACTGATTAATTTTTTTCTCTAATGGTTGTGATTTTATTTGTTGAAGAAGGAGAGGAGGCAGAAGGGCTCGTAGACAGAGAGAGAAGAGGAAAGGCAGGAGTATAGGTCTGAGAATAGGGACATCGCTTGTTTTAAGTGCAGCTTTTGCATATTTATCTGCCAGTTCATTTCCCTCCACCCTGATATGTGCAGGAACCCAAATTAATCTCAGAATCAGCTCAGAATTAGCTTTATTGGCCAGGTGTGTTGGACACATGAGGAATTTGACTCTGGTACATCGGCTCTCAATGTGTATGTACATATCAGGTCAAAGTGTTTATTTGTCATATGCACAGTTAGGCAACATGTTTTCCTGTACAATGAAATTCTTTGCCGTCCACATGAATGCCACAAAATAGAAATGAAATATAAAGCAGATAAATAAGTAACACAAAATCTAAGGCACTTTAAGCAGCAAATGCAGCAATATAATAAAAATATATAAGAATATAATAAGAGAATGTACGCTGCTTGGGAGCAGCATGTGCAGCAGTCAACAGTCAATGTGCAATTATGCATGTGCAAACTGAGAATGTAAACAGTACAGGTCGACACTACATGACATATTTCCTGGTAATAAATTCCTCAGCTGTTTAGGAGTCTGATGGCAGAGGGAACGAAAGAGTTTTTCAGTCCGGAGGTCCTGCATTTCACACTTCTGAACCTCTGGCCAGAGGGTAGGGAGGCAAACAGTCCGTGCTGTGGGTGGGTGGGCTACTTGAGGATGGAGGCAGCTTTCCTACACACCCTGCCATGCTAAACACTCTGCAGAGAGGACAGTGGAGTCCTGGTGAACTTCTCTGCAGTCTTTACCACTCTCAGCAGGCGCTTGCGGTCCATAGCAGTAGTGCTGCCATACCAGACAGTGATGCAGCTGGTCAAGATGCTCTCGACGATGCAAGGGGCAAGTAAACTGATCTAACACCTATTCCAACCCTCTTACATGTGAATATCATAAAAGCTATTTCAGGAATTACGTCCCGCCTCGATTCTGAATGAATGCACTCAATACCCAATAAACAACTGCTAGAATCTGATCCAATTAGGGTGATCCACACTCCTTTTCAGTTGGTGGCAGTAATGCACAAATTCGTTGTTTGCCAACCGCCAATAAACCGACGAAGAAGACGACGGGGAGGAGGAACAAGAACTAGCAGGAGTAGCACATGTTCTACTGAGAGTGACGGCGGAACCTTTAACAGTTAAGATGAAGCCAGGTATAGTAGATATTTGCCATGATGTTTTTTTATTTTATTTTTTTAATATAATATGTCATATTACAAAGCGGAGATATCTTCTGTGTATTTGGAGTGAAAGTCGTTGATGTATTCTCGCTCTGTACCTACATGCTACAGTAAACTGTTTTTAATAGTATAGTAACGTTAGACGTAACTTTGAACTGTCAAGTTATGTGAAAGTTTTCTTCAATGATACAGGAAACATTTAACGTTAAGCTAAAATGCAGCGTTAACGTTAATCTTCAAACTGCCATTAGCCTGAGTACATTACCAACAGCAGAAACACGCAGTACACGTCGCTCAGCACACGTGTTGGGTAGCTGCTCACAACTGTGTCTTAACTACGGTTTTTAGAACGGACCCAGAAAATAATACTTCATATAAATTACTTTTTTTTACGTTGGATGATTTCAGGTTACGTATTCTTGACGGAGAATGTCTGAAGCTGGCTCTTTTTGCTGTGTTATGCGAGGCTAAAACACGAAAACTATGGATGCCTCTGCTAAAGCTAACCCTGGTCAAAGCCATGTGTGGGTTAATTGTTACGGTACGTTATTGGCTTACGGTACGTGCCCCACACCTTCACCGCTTAGAGTAGGGACGTATCGCTAATATTTTACTTGGGTAAAGTTGGAAAGATATTCACAGATTCGAAGCTTTCGGATTAATAGGGCATAAAGGAAACACAGCCGACACATCTTCAGCGTCTGAGTATGGCAGACACCAAGCCACCTCCTAATGCTTTTAAGCCGTCCTCCTCTCCAGACAAATTAGTTTCTATTGCTGCGTTTCCACTATCGGAACCTAACTAACGGTATACCCGGTACTTCGCCCAACTTAACCTCCTGGGTTTATGCGGGCTGTCCTGTTTTGTTTTTCTGCTTAGAGGAGGGAGGGGCTGCCCCTCTCTCACACATGCACTCATAGCAGAGCAGAAGGAGTACACGTGTGGAGGATCACCCCATAGTGCAATCAGCCAGTAAGGGAGAGTGTATGATCAGTTTTTCAAACAGCTGTTGAAAAAGCAGAGCACAGACCTGCAGGAATGTGACTTCTTCACAGCTTTGCCCTTGGTCCACTCATGAAGGTCCCCCCTTTGCCCCTAAATTAACAAGTGAAGTCCTCATTTTACCTCTAAACCATATGTGCCTATTTACATACCCTGCTTGTAATGCTAATTCTGCTATTCAAACCTCAGCCATTTAACAATCACCAGTGACTGCTCTGTGTGCATGCAGCCCCCTCCCATTCTTAGAACTTAATTTTAGTACTACCTCCTCCCTGGATGGTGTTAAAATGTAGCTCCTGGAACGCATCACCAAAGCAGGTGCACGGTAGTGGAAACAAACACAGCAGCCGTGACAAGTGTTACATGGCTTGACACGTTTTGGTAGGTTCCTATAATGGGAAAAACCTCTTGTGTGCAGCTGGCTTGAAGACAAATTATAACACTGAAAAGAGGTTAAAAATTAGGTAAAAGGTAAAAAATTTCAATAATTTCACTCTCACACCGTCTAGTGCTACTGAGGGTGTTTTCACACTTGGTCCCTTTCAGCCCTCAGAGCAAACTCAGAGTGATTAGTCAGCATTTTTTGTGTTAATGTGAACACTCCCGACGAACTCAGACCCCTCTGAAACAAATCAAACTCACCACCACTTGGGAGGTGGTCTCAGTTTGGTTTCTTTCAAGTCCGTAATGCGGTTTGCTTAATGTGTGCATTGTGAGCACAAAGTGCTACAGGTTCACTTTTAGTCTTTTGCATGTAAGGGCTGAAATACTAGCAATCTGTAGCAAAAGTTTATCATGGAGAAATGCAGTTTTCCTCTGACTAGCTTGTACATACCTAGCTACACTGGACAGCTGCCTGACAACTCAGTAGCAACTTCATGCTGCAGTGTTCAACACAAATGCAACATTAGGCACAGGAGACTGCACTGCCTCTTGTTTCTTAGATTACAAAGAGCTGTGTTTCTATTTATAGTTTGTGTGGCTCATGAGTGGTCAGCAAACACAACTGCATTCAGTTGTAAGCAACACCACCCAGTGGTGTAACCGGTGCTACAACAGTATTTTCTGGCAGTTAACACTGCACATAATTCGCTTCACTTCAGTTTTATTTTGTAAAGCACCAAATCGCACCAATCATTATCTCAAGACACTTTACAAAGTAAGATCTAGAACTTACTATTATTGTTATTATAGAGGAAAACCCAAGCACTTGCTGACAGTAGGGAGGAAAAACTCCCTTTAACGGAAGAAACCTCTGATAGACCCTCTTGGCGGCATTCTGCCTCGACCGGGTTGGGGGGGGTGGGTGGATAGAGGAGAGAGACAAGAAAAGAGAAGCAACAAGATGTAGCAAACAAACACTGGGCAGGTTGATGCAGCTGGTGATGCGTAATGGTTAGGGGTGCACCGAACCTTCGGCCGCCGAAAAGGCCATTTTTCTTTTG